GACCTCTTCTATAATAACAGCAACATACCAAATATTAAGGAATAAATAATGTTGTTGTCCTCCATGTGATAGCTACGGTAAGACAAGGACTATGGCAGCTACTCTGAGCACAACAGCAGCATCTTTGCAAAGCATGTGATCCCCTATCCTAACCCAGGATCACACAGTAATTTTCCTGCTCCAGGGTTTAGACAAGAATAACTCTGAAAAATTATATAAAGAGAGCTGGACTTCAGAAATCATGAATGAAAAATAAAAGAATCTTTTCCAATATCACTGAGTAGAAGAAAACACACACACAAGCTAGTAAAGATAAGAAACCATCAGGGAAAAAGACTGGGTTTTATAAATTATTTTGCAGGTGGAGCTTGCTTATTATTCTCATTTAAAATTTCCTGAACATCAATAAACATTTTCTGCTTTCAAATTTCTTGCAACTCAGCTGGGAAGACACATTGCACAATAGCATTTTTTGTTTATAATCACTAGATGTCTTTCTTATCCCTAACAGATAAATTTTTTCAGACCTAAATTTAAGATGCCAATTAGCCATGCTCTGCACACTTCACAGTGCCAAAGTGTTCAGCAACAAACTCTAGGGCAGGTTGTTCCAGCTTCTTGACAAGAGGAGATGAGGTTTTGCTACTGGTACTTGCTTAGGGTCCAGATGGCAAAACCAACTTGTAGTGTTATGGTAAGTTGAAAGATAACAAGGCAGGACAGAACTGACCGGAGAACAACCCATGGAGAGTTCTAACAGCTTAGGAACAGAGATAAAATTCTGGAAAACAGAAGTCTTCTGGTTTTTATTGTCAGATCAGTAAATGATATGCCATGTGGAATGAAATACTGAGGATGACGTGGTTGATTACTTCTTTCCCCAGATTCTCTACCTACAAATACAGCTCCCTACATATATACAGCTACATCAGTAATGGGGTTGAGTTTCCAAGATTTCATCAAAATTTTAAAGAATCTGGAGCCTCACAATTTCTGCAAAACAAACTGCAGTTGTAAGTAGCGTGGTCAAATCTCAAGGTTCGCTACTGTACCTCATAGGGACCCTGTGAGAGTTTACTAGCTGGGACAGGAGTTCACACAAAAAGGCATTCAGCACAGTTCACAACCCATCTATTTCTACTCCTATAATCATGAGTAACAGAGCCAGACCTTATAGTCACTTTTTCACTTGATATAAGAGGCAGAGCAGAGCATAAGCTATGCTGATACAAGGGACTCTGAAAGACATGCTGCAGAAGCATCTTCTCTTGCCTCCTGCCATATTCTGTCTCCCAAGAAACTTAGAGATTGCCTCAGAAGCTGTCTCTCCAACTCACTCCTATTTTTATGTTTATTAAACACATATTTCTCTTTTATTCAGGCGGACAATAGCAACACTTGACTTCTTAGACCAGAGTCTTATCTCCAGCCTCCACATCTTACACCCAGGCATTTATACAAGACACCTTTTTTTTCCATCCAGTTAGCAGGCAGTTTAAGTTCAGCACTGACTGGAGACAATTTAATGCAATTTTCCTAGAATTTTTCTCTTTCCACTCTCTGCACTGCCCAGTTCTCCCAGGTTTAACCCACTCTACTCAAGTTTGGGAGGGGGCCTGACACATTAGCAGATGCAGCTCAAAATCAGCCCATAACATAACATTGGTCTGGATCTCCATCACCTTTCTGCCCATGCTGCTTGCCCAGACACATCTGCTTCAGGTGAAATGATAATACAATTCTTGACAAAAATATATTTCCCTGCTTTTTTCCAATTTAGCAAAAAGACAGAAAATATTGATGACTTTTGCCTTCTGGGGATATTCTCACACACTTTCTAGGAATAAGCAAGTACATCTTTTTGCCATCACATTATCACACATGTGCATGGTTATAAGAAAATGTTCTGAAGGGACATGAAGCAAATAATACCAATTTGCAAAATTCTATAGCAATATATTTATAGGAATTACAGAATTCTGTATGTATTTACACACCATTACAGAATATCAAGTAAATAACATGAATTGTTCTTTTCTTTTTCCCTCAGATTTTTCTTCAAGTGAATTTTAGTGCTCAAGCAAGGTGCCAGATGGACAGCACTAGAAAATGAAGACTTCTGTTTGTCCACAGCACAGGAGGAGAGGCACCGCAAGCCTCCCTGCTTTGCCACGTCAGCTCTCTCCAGCCCTGTTTTAGCAGGACCACATAAGGAGCAGGAGGGCATCCATACCCCTTCATACCTTGGCAAAGGAGCAAAGCAGCACCCAGGTGACAATGGTTTTGCCCATCCCCCACCAGAAAACAAACAGAAATAACTCATTTTACACCAGTGACTGAACAGAATCTGTTGTTCGCTACCTGAAACAGGCCAAATTTGACCCAGTGAACCTGCAGGGAGTGGCAAACTGCCAACTCCTAGGCCTTCCAGTCTTGCAATAATGCCTAAGTTAAATTACATGTTTCTATATTTACATAAAGTCAGTATTTACACACCATTACAGGTTATTCGAGTAAATGGGTTACAGTTTATTTATATGGACTGCCATAAACTCATAACATTTTTCTTGAGTTTAATCCTTTCTTTAGAAAAATACAAAAAAAATAAATTAAATAAAACATGTTAACTAGTAGTAATGATTTGCCTATGACTAAAAATCCAAGTCGATTTAACATTAAGACTCTAACCATGGCCTAGTATTGTGGCCTCAACTCAGAGTATTTTTAACCCTTGCAAATAATTTCCCTGTGTATGCCAGATTTACTGAAACAGCAGAGAGTTGTAACCTCTCTTCCTTGTGGTAGGATTGATCCATTTAACACTGAGCAATGAGTTCTCTCTGGAGTTCTCTCCAGAAGCTCCCTTTCTTCTCCTACGGTCTTTGCATTGCCCAGACAAACAATTCCGAATCCAATTGACCCACAGCAGCCAAAATATCTGTAGATCTCAGTAGCCCCAAAGGGTCAGAGACAAACACATGGGCTGCAGTTGAAGGCTATAAATTCCCAGGCAATAACAGTCCCTAGACAAGTATGTCTAACTGTATCCTACAAATCCACTAATGTAATTTACATATCTTTATCATTCATAAACAATTACAACAAAATGCCATGTTTTATTTAAGATTACTGATATCGCCATTTGAGACATGGCCCCTTCCACCTGCTTGAGGGCAGAAAGGGCATGTTTGCTCAGGACACCGAGCCAGAGGTTATTCCAGAACAGAAATAAGTTTCAAATAATGTAAATCAGATAAATAAGAGTGCCTTAGAGCAAAAATTTCTGAATTATGAATAGGCTACGAACATATGTATTGCTCCTCCAAAACCCATCTGCGCTCAGCCCCTGTGCCTCTGCGGACAGCCAGGGTGTCAGGACCAGCCCTGCTCCTGACATATCCAATGGCAAAGGGTACACTTAGTGGCACTGGATTAAAATCCTAAGGGGCACAACAGCTACAAAATGCATTCTTCATATGGACCTTAACATGACATTTGTCTCTATTTTTTTCTTCAAGGTACTGGGGAAAAAAATGCGTCTTGCTAAGGGCTAATTTCCAAATGATAACTGCTAATCAATGTGTTTGTGTATTTAACATAAAATGCTACATACCGTTAAACATTACATACTGTTACCTCACTTAAGGTTCATGAATATTAGAACATACTTTAGGAAAAACAGTAAAAATAAGTCTAATACTGTCCCCCTCATTGTCATTATTGATAGAGATTTATTAGTTTCATTTTGCAAGTTTTACTTTAGGAAGGGTGCTAATATCATGTATTATGACAGTTCACACTGAAAGCAATTTTCCATAAAAGATATTACAATGACCCCTATGGAACTTGTATAATTTCACAGTAGATAGTCAAGTGCACAAATAAACATGTTTACAAGAGTGATCCTGTTAACCTGGTTCTTGCCCTCTGAAATCTTTATGTGCTCTTTGTGGAATCTTAAAATTAGTACAAATGTTGTTGGTATTATGTTGTTTCTGGCATTCTCTTTAGGAAAAAAAAAGCATATTTATCACTTAGCTTTGGTATAATCTGCAATAGGTTTTAACAAGTAGAATATATTCCAACCCCTATATTTTTCACAGCTGTGAAATTTACAATGATGTAAGAAGTCATTTTATCAGAGAGGAAATATTACAGACACATAAAAAAAAGTTGAAGACCCAGTTTTCTCTTTAATCCTCTGGGGTAAGCTATGAAACAAGCAGTCAGAAGAGTGAGGACTCAGTGTCATGAGTGGTGTGCATAATTGTACAATAATATGGGCACAAAAGAGATTGTCGCCTTTAGTACATGAGGGTCACTAGAATTTATTATTATTGTCATTACCTTTTTATTGTTGTTTTTTTTATCCATGCACCTTTATATTTACTTGCATGAATTCACCACAGGTTCATAGTGGCCTTTGCCATTTTAATGCTTACAGAGCCTAAAGCTTCCAAAATGCCTATCTGGCCTGTACATATTTCATTAAAAATAAACTCTATATAATAAATAAATATATAAAATAAATAAAATGTTGCCTTTGGAATTTCTATAAATAAATTTAACTTTTTATTTTTATTTTTTTTACTAAGAGGTCTTTGCTTTAAACTCAGTGGGGTGAGACCCAGAGAGCGATTAACTGAAAAGTCTCTTGTTTAAGTAAGACTGCACCCTCCATGCCTTTGTAAATGCAGCGTACACTTGAGCAGGCCACCAGCCAAAAATCCTGATGAATCAAAGTATGGCAGCTATGCTGATATATGACGAAGTACAACTGATCAAAAATTTAAAAGCGTGTCTATTCCCCAGCATGCATCAGGCCTTCCTCCTCCTCACCCTCCTCCTCCTCCCCTTGGTTCCTCTCTCTCGCGCTCTCACTCCCATTCATGCTCTCCCTTTCTCTCTCTCTCTCTCTCTCTTTCTCTCTCTCTCTCTCTCACACTCACTCTCTCGCGCTCCCTCTCGTACTAAATCAAGCGAGTGGGCATAGGCTCTCCTCCAGGAGGACAAACCTTTAAGTGCAGAACAAAATCAGCATGTTCCATCCAAGCCTCCATCATACATTATGCATGCGACAAAGTTTGGCAACAGTGGAGCTGATGTGATGACACAGCTAATCAATAAGAACCCACCGCATGAAACCTTTATAGTGGTTACTTTTTAAGGGCTCAAGTGAAGGAATTGTCTTTGTCAACTTTGGCTTAAAATATCCTTATATAGTTCCGGTACTTTCTCAGGGTCCACTGGTCTAGGTAAAAAATGTGTAAATTTTTGATGCCGTTTAGTCCTAGTCCCTTCTCTTGGAGTCCCATCTTTATTTAACGCAACATAGTATCGTCTTCCAGTGTCCACATGTTTATATAGATTTGATGAATATGTGTTATACCAGTTTTCTTCAAATTGCTCTCTGAATACACACTCCTGGGTTAATTTTTCCTGTGGAAAGAAAAGAAAAAGCAGTAAGGAGATAGCCACTAAAATAAGCTACTTGTTAAAGAACTACTGTTTCCATAGCTTGAAATCAGTACCTCCTTGCTAAATTGTGAAATTAAACATTTCAATACTCCTAGTTTTAGCTATGTAAAGCTGTATTGCTGGCTATTTCAGTAGGCAGTCACGGGGTGGATAACTCTATGTAAAGCAAAAATGATTCTCCCAAAGTCTCATTGCCCAAATCAATACAGAAACTACAAAGCTGAAAACAGATATTTTCGATTTTGATCATTCCCAAGCAGATCACAAGACCTTACTGGACTTGTATAACTAATTGCTTTAATCATAAGTGCAGGCATTCAAACAAACAGATATAAGTAAAGAAAACTAGAACGGGTTCGCAGGACTCTAACAAAATTTATGGTCTTAAAATCTCAATGTCTTCTCATTGCATGGAGAACTCAATGCATTTCATTAATTTAAAAAGATATAATTTACTACCCTTCGTTTGTTTTATTATTTGCATCATGGAACCACGACCCAATAGAGATTTGAACAGGAACACAAACCCTGTGTGCTGAGATGAAGTTAGGCAAGGAAATGTCCTCCAGACTTGCCTTACCAGGGTTGTCCTTGTGTCCTGTCCTACTGACTTGACCCACTGAAGACATCAACTGTTCATGAGATCCCCAGCAACAGAATTTCACTCCTTCCAATTGACCCACTTATTCAATCTGTGTGTATCCCTCTACAACCTTTTGGTCTAAATAGGTGGGGTTTGCTTAAAATGCAGCCACCTGATAACAGGATTTATTTTAGGAAGGACTCACACAAATGACTGAGCAAGAACACTGAAAAAAAGGCAATGAGCTCTAGCATGGGAGAGCTGATGGAAAGCTGGGAAAAATAAGCCTGAAAATAGTCTTTTCAGCTGGCACAAAAAATATAATGATAGTTCGATACATTTTTTTGTAACAAGGTTCTCACTTCAGTAACACCATATCAACCAAACCAAGCTTCCAGATGAGGATCAATTTCTAATTACTACAAAGTTCCATACAATGCATGTGTTTTACAGACATGAAATCTTAAAAAAGTCCTTTTAGATAGAGGCACAGAGAAGGAAAAATAGAGACCGAGAACTAGATGCAGCAAAGCATATGTGACACCTATGCCATAAATGTGCAACCGAATACAAGAAAGGAGCCACAGCTCAAGCTCCAGTGCCCTCAAGAAGCCACCTTCCATGACTTAATACAGAAGCTTCCCAAAGTCCACCATCACCGAAGCTTGCATCTTGCCCTGGGGCTGCAGGTGCATTTGGGGCCACCTCTGCTGCTTGAGACTCAGGTCACAACCCTTTCCCAAAGCAATGTGTTTTGGCCCAGATGTTTCACTGCTGATTTGCATGGCAAGCACTCTGCTCCCAGGTTAGAGCTCTGCAGCTCACTAGGATTGAGGACTGGGGTCCCAGTCAGGTCCAAGGAGCCTTACACACCTTACAGGAGCCACCCAGTAAACATCCCATGTGGGAAAAGCAAACCACATTCAAGTGGGGAAAGAAAGCCAGCACCCCTCTACACCTGTACAAACTGGGTACTGAGCTGCAAAGCCAGGGTCCTCCTCAGTGCCTAAAGGTTTGGGATTTTAAGGTTTCTTCTAAATTCAACATGTGGCAACTCCAGTAGGCAAGAAAGGCAGCAAGGGAGCAGCTTCTGATTTCTGACTGAATGAGTACTGGGTACCTCATTACTACTCAGTAAGGAGAAATCCCTGACAGGACCAGGGATGTTAAACACTTGAGAATTCACTGTGGCAGCAACTGTATCCCTGTGTGGATATAATAACTTATTTTAGAGGCATTTCTGACTATGACATTTTTAATGTTCTAAGTAGCTCAAACACAGCAACACTCTATACTGGTGATAGGCAAAAGAAGCACAAATTTGTCAAGTTAAACCCTTATCTATGGGCCAGACCTTGCAACCTCCAGTTGATAATTGTCTCTATGTCCTTTGCTAGCTCAAAAATGCAGCTGCAATGAGTACTACTGGACCAGCAGCAGCTGCGAGTTACACCCATTGCAGTATCCCCCTTGTACAGCCTCAAAAGTACAAACTACTATGAAAAATATTCAGCTGCAATAAAGATTATCTGTAAGTATAGGTTTCATTAGTGTTTTATTTTGCATGAGGTTTAAAATCACTTTTTTTGCTTTAAGACAGAAGCAGATGCTAAGGGATATTATATGCTGGGCCTATATAGGTCCATGGGGAAAGAGAAGCCAATTCAAATTGTTTTCCTGCTCTCAGAAGGCAGTAGGATCACATGACAAGCACTGCAGAAGCACTCCCTGCTAAAAATAGCGGCATTTTAGGAAGATATTTCAGTCCTGTCTTGAATTCATTAATTATTCACTTCATCTGCATTTTTTTTAGCATCATCATAAATTTCTATCTTTGCAAGAACAGTACTTCCCCATGCCCTGAAGGAGAAATTTTAAAATAGCCTCTCTTTATCTGGCAGGTTTGATGGATCATGACAGTGCTGTGGCACACATAACTAGCAGACCTTGAATCAGGGGGTTTGCACTGTACTGCACTTGAGATGAGTTAAATGGATTTCAAGCTTACAAATTCAATCTTTATTTTACCAGCCTATCCTGGTTTTACTTTCTATTCACTCACAACACAGCTACATCTCTTTTGTCCTTCAAAAATTGCAGAAATTCATGTATAAACAGTAGGCAAATACTTCGTCATGAACTTGACAGAGCAGTCAGGATTTAGGATCAGATATGTAGGGACACTAACAATCAGCCTTTCAGAGAAGTGAAATAATTTCTTTATAAATTCATCAAACCTTTTCCTTCTAGGACACCTAGAAGTTCTGGCTGTAGTCAGAAAGCTCTGGAGCAAGTTGGTGTCAGTGACTTTGGATCAGGTTCTGTAAGTATTGTGGGACACTAAAATCCCATAATACCCTTCTTCCCATGCCCTGCAAGGTTATTACAATAATGGCTCATCTAGTACCAAGAGAGAGAGAAATCAACACCCACCAGGATAGTCATCTGTGTAGAATCATAAAGTCATTTAGGTTGGAAAATACCTTTAAGATCGTCGAGTCCAACCATGAACCTAACACTGCCGAGTCCACCACCAAGCCATGTACTACCACCAGCCTGCACAGCATTACTAGCTTACACTCATGTTTTAAGTATGCACTCCATTATTCAAGCCAGAAACGAGCACAATGCAGGGGTGAGGCTGGTCCGTCCGACCAATACCACCTTCTTGCCCCACCAGCTTAGGATGGGAAAGTCTTGATGAAAGCCAACTCTTCCAGTATGGAAAGGATACAATGTTTCCTGATCATAAGTAGCTTGCATTTCTCCTTCTGGCTGTGACTTTTAGAAAGTCCCTCTATTCATAGTTGAAAGCAAGATTTAGCCCTAGAGTACAGCAATTTTTGCATACTTCTATTCTAGCAACAGACTTCTCTATCAATTTTCTAGTGCAAACATTTCCTTGCACCATACTTAAAGTTGCTAGATGTCTTGGTCGAAAGCTGACACAAATACCAAACATACCCAACTGGAACAGCTATGGAAAGTAACCTGCATTCCTGTGAAAGGGGAGGCTGCCTGCCTTGCTCAAATAATTTAGTTCAGGGCCAAATAAGGAGGTGACCTCAAAATTATATCAATCAGATGTTCCACCACATTCCACGTGTTTTCTGTGAGGACTGTTCATAGAGCATTCAATTCAAAGTAATTGATTTTCATTTCACTACATTTCCACTCTTCACCTGTTAATTTTTTTAACTCGGAATGTTCAAATAATTGAATTGTACGAAGATGCACATATCACAAGCACAAACCTCCAAGACAGATTCAATTCAGAAGTCTGCTAATGCCTGGTCAATTAGCAAGCACAGGACCCCTTTCCCTTCCTACATTCTCTACCACCTAACAAAGGAGAAAAATAATTATGTTTTCCTATTTCCAGGCAGACCAATTAAAAGTGGCATTGTAAATTATTAAAGTACATAGTTACAGCCATCACAATGAAAGTTTTGCTAGCTTGTTTAAGAATAGCTATTCCTGTGAAGTAGTTCATTATAAATAAGTGAAAATACACAAAACACACGTACACTGCTCAGAGCATGGTTTCATGACTCTAAAGAACATAAGATATTTGTGCTGCTTAGTAGTTGAAAGAACAGTGTAGGGTCCTATACAAAACACTTTAATATTCTTTCTTTTTTCTTTTAAATAACCCTATGGATCTAAAACTCTCATTAATTTTGTAATCTGACAGAAGGAAGCCTCTTCAGACCACCATTCCTAAAATCACAATACCTTTCATGCCTAGCAAATTATTCTGTTCTATATCATGTATCATTTTCCCTTTTGCAAACTGCTACAGTGATTCATAAGAGACAAGAAAACATCTAACCCAGAATTCCAAACAACTATTAACAAGAAATATATCTGATGTAGTCAGCACTTCCTATATACCTGCTGCACGTCATCACCATGTTAATCCATTCTGTCTTAATAAAATCATGTTCGAATATATAATCTCCTAAATAATTTCATGGAAATCCCTCATTATGGCTACATGGCACTAATAAAAACTGCGTATGTAGCGAAGAGAAACAACAAAAAACCCCTATTCTTTTCTGAAGTGGTTTGCTCTGCTGTTCTGCCTACCAACACACACATTTTACATGCCGTTGGCCCTTCCCATGCTGTAATGCAAACAGCCTCTAGAACATACTATGTTCAGCTAATAATTAACACTCATCCAGAGCCGTCATAAATAAAAGTCTAGTTTAGCATTTGCTGTGGTATTGTCTGAACTCCCATGCTAAGCCTGTTAGTCTCTGGCTGGGTGAACAAACTCCAGCCACAATGAGAAGCCAAATACCAGGGTCCAAGCAGCTCCACTTTCTTTTCCAAATTAGACCACAGTGTGAGGCAAACTCTGCACACTGAGTGT